CGGCTTTAAAATTTTCTACACTGGTCATTTCTGGAAATACTCCCTCCTCCCCTCTAAATTGAACCCTCCCTTGAATCACAGAGAAAGCTAATGCAAGAACATAAAATACAGGGACCATATTTGATAATACATAAAACCGTTCTGCTTTAGTCACCTGCCTCTGTTGAAAGAACAGAGGTAGGTTTCATTATTTTTTCTCTGACCTTTTTAAAAAATACATTTTTAATGGATAACTTTTGTTTTGACATTACCCAGATTTTTTTCCCTGTATCCTTTTCTCTTTTCCCTTCCTAGATTTATTTTTATCTTAATGGTTTCGTCCTGTTTATCCTCCCATTCACTGCTAAATTCTTGAAAGTGTACATTTGTTGCCTTGATTCCATTAATCCATTCTGTCCCTAATCCTGGGAGGCAGCTAGGTGGCTCAATGGATAGAGTATTGGACCTGGAGTCAGGAGGACTTGAGTTCAAATCCTGTCCCAGACACTTACTACCTGTTTAATCCTGGGGCAAGTCATTTAACCTCTGTTTGCCTTAACCCACCAATGAAGGAAATAGCAAACCACTCCAGTTCCTTTGTCACAAACAGTCAGATACTACTCGACAAGTCTCTAATCCTAGAAGTCTGTCTTCTGTCCCCACCATTCTTCTGAAACTACCTCAGGAAAGTTACCAATTACCTTATCAAATTAAATATCCTTTTTATTGCTGCTTATCCCTATTAGTTTAATTCTGATCCTTGACTTTTCAGCTATATTTGAAGCCACTGACATGTAATCACAATTTTTTTCTTAACTCTTAACTTCTTTTTCACATCTTACTCTACCTGCTCTTCTTTCTCAAATTATTGTCTACTTAACAATATACATCTGAAGCTTTCTCTCCATCTTTGCGCTTTTTTCCCTAAGACCTCCCACATAAGCCTTCCTGACCTCATAGATTGATTGATTTTATTTGGATGACTCTGGGATATTTAATCTCCAACCTCAGTCTTCAGTTCTTGATTTATATTTTCAACTCTGCACTGTTATGTTTTGATAGACATATGCCTCTCTTAACACCTTAGCCTCAGAATGGTTCAAATGAAACCAATTTTTTCATTTCAATCAGCTCCCCTTCCTAACTTTGTTATTTACATCAGTATCAGCATCCTCCAAATCACTGTGACTCAAACTTCCAGAATCATCTTGATCTCTTTCCTCTACCTCAATGGCTGCCAGGGGTGGGGAACCTGCAGTTCCTTTTAGGGATGTGTTCTGTGAAGTTTGGATTCAGTCAAAGGGCTGCACTTGAGGAACTAGATGACCACGTGTGGCCTTTGAGGCCAAAGGATCCCCACCCATGTCATGTGAATGCATCTGTCTCTTTCTATTCTTAGGGCCACTCAATCCAGATCTTTTTATTACCTAATGTCTGGCCTATTACAAAAATTGTAAAAACAACCTAACTGAACTTCCTGCCTCTGGCTTCTCCCCTCCCCTGGAATCATATTTTAGAACTGGAAAGAACCTCAAAAGATCATTTTATACTGATAGCTTAACTTCATTGGAGTAAAGCAGAGCATCAGAGAAAACTAATCATGGAAATTATACAACATTCAAGTGATTTTTTTCCTAGCAGGCTTAATTTTTATTGAAGCCCCATACGTTATCTAGTATTCACTAGCAATTTTCTGAGGAAAAATTCAACTTTTTGAGGAAATTAGGATGTCTAAGGCCAGGATGGTGTTCTATGTCAATTTCATAATTCTAGACTGGGATGAGTGAAAGGGCAAAAAATTGCTTTTACTCCTTTTTACCTTTTTTGTTGCCCCACATTGTATAGCTATCCATTTAGTAACAGATACTGTTATTTTCTACTGTAAAAAGTCAAGTCTTTGGTTTAATTTCCCCTCTAGGGAAGTTCCCATTTAGGTCACTCTGGAAATCCCCTTTTCCCTTATTTCCTCTCCTGCTCAAGTCTGTAATACAGTTCACCAGATTTAAACATTAACAATAAACCTCAAAATTTGAAATACTGTAAGACATCCAAATCTGCAATAGCAGTATTCATAAGTATTTTGTTACTTATTTTGAATCTAAAACTGAATAAAAATGTTGCTGCAGCAAAATAGCCTTGGTTGAATTAGCCCCTTGACAGCTGTAATACCTCTTAGGGAGGGAAAGTCCCAGTGCTGAGCTAATGATGCATTAGAAGTGTTTGCCAGAATGTGGTATAATAAGCTTAGAAGAAAATAACTTTCAAATATCACGCTGTCCTATAAAGTGTAAATATGAGGGTTGATTGTTAGGAATCCCAGTAAAGAGAATGGGATCAATTGGATTATGATCTTAATTTCCTAACTTTTGATTAAACCACAAGGATGGCCATAGTGGATCCTATTATAGTGGAGGGATGAGAACAATGGTTGGTTGTCTCTCCCTCCCCAAACCCCCTTACTGCTTACTGAAGTTGGATGGCTAAAATTTTTGGCACCAATTCCAACCCTAAATTGTCCTCTTTTTTTTTTTTTTTCCCCTGTTTGTGCTTACAGGCAACAGAACAGCATTTGGGAAAGATGTAGACCATTGTAGAACTGAACCATTACAAATTATGACCATTTTCAACTTGACTCATGAAGCTGCTCATAAATCTTTTCATTATCTTTCATTGGGGCTTTTAATGCACTTATGAAAGAGGAATCAGATCTTTTATCCTTTGACCAAGTCCCCAACTATTGATCCTACCCTACTCATTCCCAGAAGATCATCATCTCTTTTATGGAAGTTATTCATCATTTATTAAGGATTTACTACTTGCCAATGACTACGCTAGGCCATGGTGATATAAAGGCAAAAACAGAATTGACTTGCCCTACGCTCATCTTGCAAAAGTTTTACATCACCTGTTCGTTTATTTTCCCCTCAGTCTCCTGGAGGAGTCAAGATGAGCTTAAATTTATTTTAGAACCCTATGTACCATTCAGGTCAACCTCTTGGGAGGCTTAATTACTCCCATACTTAACAGAGTAATTTCTAACTACATGCTTTATGCTATTCTCTTCCCTCTCCCTCCCCAAAAAATAATTCCATAAAAGACCAACTTCAAGCCTCAGTTCTAAGAACACTTCCCATGTGTACAGGGACTGGGGTCCATCACACCAGTTTCTCTTGGGCTGCACACATTGCTTTTCCTTAAATTCTTGAAGCTGAGATTTACTCCATATAGCAGTAGGTGGCGCTAAATTGACAAAACAATATTCTGTAAAATAGCGCTATTTAGATGAAACTTAAGTGGTAACTTCTCTTGAATGACTTCATTTTTGTCCCAGCTCGCCCTGCTGTTGCTAGCTACATTCTAATAGTGCCCAAACTCTCTTTCTCCTGTGCTCAATTTTAAAGAGTTCCAGATCCAAAATCTGGACTTACTTGGATTTGAATAACCAATAAATAAGTTCAACAAGTATTAATCACCTACTCCCTACATGTGAAGAACTATGCTGGTGTAGTAGTGGGAAAGGACGAACACAGACAAGTATACAATCCAAGGTAGAGATTGGGGAATTTGAAGAGGGATGCTGAGAGATCAGCGGGAGATTTACCTGGATGTCACAGTGCTGTCCCACTTAGTAAAGCCAAAAAATCCCATTTAGAGGACAAATGAGGATGCATTTATGGTAGGACTAGAGAAATCGGTAATATTTAAAAACTTGAGCGATCTGATGGATAAAAAGTGTGCCTGAGGAACAGATGCCAAAATGACTATTTTCCAAGAGAGGGCGGAAGAGCAGAATTTTTTTTTAATCTGAAACCTCCAGCACCTCCCACTGATAAGTGCGTGAAGCAGCCAAGTTCTCGCTTCACATAGCGCCTCGAGCAACAGATAATACAGAAGAAAGCTACTTTGATCTACTATCTTTCAGCGCTTTCTCCCTCACTAAGCAGGGGTCATTGGTGAGGTGCCCCGCCTGCCTTCTTGGAAACTGATTCATAAGCAGTAACTTTCAAAGCTTTATTCCTTCAGGCAGTTCTCTCTGACCAACTTGAGTGAGGAACGCCAAGAAACATATTTGTCCAAAAAAAAAGGGTCCCCAGTTATTGTTGTAAGGAAAAGGTGATTTTCATTCCCTGAAGTCTTGAGGTGGGAAGGAATGGAGGTATTGATTCTTACTGTTTTGATCGAGGTGGGATGGGGCAGAAAGTAGCTTCAAGGCTGAATAGAGACAGAATACAGCTGGCTAAAAGCATGACTTGGTCATAAACAATGGAGTGGGCAGATGAACAGCAACTTTTTAATGGTACTTTTTTTAGCTACTTATTTTTAATTCCAGAAAATTCCGTTGTCCACGGCACATAGGCATTTATTTTGTGATCCCATGTCATGGTTCAAAGCCTCAGATGGACTAACATAGGGGACTCAATTTTCAAGCCTTGTCTAGGTTAAGACCCACAAATACAAGGTCCTAGCTTTGCTGCTGCCTGAAGCCCTCCGCTTACCTTTGGCAATCAATGCAAATTCAGAGAAGGAACATAGGGCAGCAGCAGTTAGTTAAGCATCATACTGGGTGAAGACTTCCAGTCTATTGATTAGGCGTCCCTAATCTACGCTGGTAGGAACCTAAGTGGCATCCTAGAAGTTCGTTGCAATACAAGGTGCATGCCTTACGACAGCTGAGTTGTTTAACTACTAGCTCTTTGTATTTATTTATTCGTGGGTTTGGGGTGCGGTTTAACCTCTCCCTTTCTGCCCCCTACTCATTTCAATTTCATTTCAACGAAGCATTCGCTTAGTCATGTCTTGACCTCGGCTGTGAATTCTAGCGCAGAGATACCCAAGCGCTTTGCTCAGAAAAACAAACAAACCAGAACTCCAATCGCAGGCTGGAGCAGGGAACTCGAAATCGCAAACCTCCCCCACCCTCCGGTTCCCGGCCTCGCGCGCAGGCGCAGGAGCCGGCCTAGCGGTGCTGGGGGCCCAAGTCTTCTACCTCTTCCCCCTCCCACCCGTCAGCCTCTCGACGCATGCGCCCTCTCTTCGGCCGGAGAGGAGTCGGCTGGGAAATGGCGGCCGCGGGGATAGTGGCTGTTACTGCGGCTGCGGAGAACTCGGGGCTAGCAGCGTCGAGCAGCAGTTTCTGCGGGGTAAACTGCGGCCCAAGTCCCGGGACGGGCCTGGGTCCGGCCTCGTGGAGCCGTTCCCTCGACCGGGCCTTAGAGGAGGCGGCAGTAACGGGGACGCTGAGCCTGAGCGGCCGGAAACTGAGGGAGTTTCCCCGGGGAGCGGCCAACCACGACCTGACGGACACCACCCGGGCCGGTGAGTTGGGGCCGGGGGTGAAGGAGGGGGCGCATCGCCGCCGCGCGGGGGGTGACGGGATGGGACGGGGCGCCGCGGGCGGGGCCGGGGAGGAGGCAGGCGAGAGCGCCGGAGAGGAGGGGGCGAGCGCCCGCTGGGAGGGACCGGGGGGGGGGGGACCCCGGGCTTCCAGAGATGGGGACTCGGATAACGGAGCCCTGGCCCAACTGCCGGCTCCTCTCCTCCCCCAGAGGGGCGGCGGCGGCGGCGGCGAGCCCGTCCTCCCAGCCCCGAGGGGCGAGTAGGCACCGGGCAGCATCCTTTGGGTGACAGGATGACTGGGTGTGTAAATGTAGGACGGGACGGGGCGGGGATTGGTGGTTTCCTACCTTCCCTCAGAAAGTTGCTTCCTAACTCCCACTCCCCGAGGTCTATTTTTTTTAGGGGGGGGGCCTCCACCCCTGTTGAGTGGCTGCCGAGGCTGTTGGCTTTGGGGGAAGTTTTGATTAAGACCTGGGGCGCTGGCTGGTTGTTGGTAATGGCCCGACTGTGGGGAATGGGGTACCTGCGTTGTTTAAAACACACACACACACACACACACAAACACACACACTCTCTCACACTCACACACTCTCTCTCTCACACACACAGACACACACACACCCCACGCACCCCTCTTCCCATTGCACACTACTTCTGCCTGGGAATCTTTGCAAACTCACAAGAAGGAATGTGGTTCAGCAGCAGGTACTTCAAGAGTTGTACTAGGTAAAGACTTACATCTATGTGGCCTCGGTTAAGTAAGTTGGTTTAGATCAGGAGTTCTTAACATGTTTAAGAATTTAAAGAGTTTATTTAATTTAAGGAGTTTACAACTCCTGGCAGTCTGGGTGAATTCTATGGACCCCTTCTCATTATAATGTTACTAAATGAATAATATTAAATCACAAAATAAACTGAAAATAAAATAAATTGAAATATGGTTAGAAAACAAAAGTTCAGGGACTCCAGGTTAAGAACCTGTACTAGACTGTGCTTAGGAACTCTTGTAATACTGTTTGTTACTTGTCCTTACTGTCATTACAATCAGGCAGTGGTGCTTGTGGCCATCGGGAGGCATTTAGCTTAAAGAAATGTAGTTCCATCTAGGGATCTGTATCCTATATTTTCTCTTTTAGAAATTATGCATTATTTTTCTTTTGTAGATGTCTTCTGCGATTTCTTAGAAGCCAGATGTATCTGGTAATGGCAAATTAAATACACCAGGTTTTCCTTGTTTAAAATATAACATCCTCCTAGAGTAGATTTTTTTCAAAAGGGATCCATTCATGAGTTTAAACAAACAGAAAACTTGGCCTCCAATTTTGACTTATCATTATAAATTCCCTGCACAGCTGTGTTTGAGGAAATTAAATGTGCTTTATTTTTTGTAGGGTGTTATTGGTCACAAAAGAATGAATAACACTTTGCTTCTTATTCAAAATGGAAACAATGGTATGCATCATTTATTAATGGAGAGCCTGATAGTCTGCTTATTTATATTCACTTATATCTGAACAACTTACACAAAAATCTTTTGTTAGATTTTGTGCAATTTCTACATTTGGTACAAACTCATTGAACCGTGACAAATGATATGAACTACCACTGATGTTAGAAAAGTGAGCAAAAGAAGACTAATATAACTTAGTTTGTGTCCACGGAAATTAGAGGAAAGTTTTTTTAAACACTGACTCAGTTTGTTACATGATACTCATGTGTAATTCTAAATCTTGGTAGTGGCTGTGTCAGTGATAAGGAATTAGGTTGTGCATTTGTTTTTCCTTTTTATTTTATAATTTGAGTATCTCACATAATATTCATAACTCTTATTTCTGCTTACTTCATCCTGTACTACTTTTGGGGGAGAATTGGACACTTCACTAAGCAGCATTTTGTATGTAATTTGTATTTTGTAAATGATCAGTCTTAAAATTGAAAGTTGCTTGCCATGCTAAACCTGAGCAGTCACTGGCCTCATGCCTGCTTATTGAAAGACAGCATCTAAATCTGTGACTCATGGCTACAATTTCTGTATTTTATTGCAAAGGTAACTTCCTGAGGTAGTAGTGATCATGATCCTATCATTTCAGTATTACTTCATTGATCCTGAAGCCCAGGAACATGTTATTTAAATTTTTTTACCTAATTCATTGTCTTTACTACTTTGACGTAGTTTTTGGAAGTCCTCCTTGAAGTTTTAGGAAATGTATTCACTTGGTGAAAGCAGACTTCAAGTCCTTTGTTGATAGGATACTGCTTAAGTAAAAGTTTTCTCTTATAGAAGAACATTCATAATCAAGTTTAATTTATTACATTTTAAATTCATAAAAATGTTATTCTATATTTGGGCCCTGTTGTTGACACTTTTAGTCTAACATATACAAAAAACTCCAACCTTCCAAAGGTTGTTTTTATTTTTACCCAGATTGGTTTTTTAAAAAAACATTTTATCATTTCATAATACATCTTTAGTTGGTTATTTTGCCTCTGTTAGTACAAAAATAATATGTTCTAGAGCCACATTTATGGTAAGCCATACCAAAATTACGCTGGTTTTTGCTTAAACTATACAAAATTTGGAAGTGTTACTTGAATACTAGCTTCACAGTCCATTACATTGAACGATATACGTAATCTAGGAGTTTTACATTCTAGGAACTTTGATGCATGGATACATAGAGCATGGTTATCTACTGGGAACATTTAAAATAATCAGAGGGATATAAACTGTGTGGAAGTTATATTTCCACTTTTGATATGTAAGACATAATGGGAAACACTCAAATAACTGGAGAGATAAGAGATCATAACAATGAACAGAGAAGCTTGTTTCAGATTTTGAAAAAAACAGCCAGATTTATTAATCTTGCATTAATTTAGATCATTTGAGGTTATATATTAGAAGACCAGCATGACATTGTGGGAAGAGTTACTGCTGTTAAACTAACAAGTTATGCGACCATGACCAAAATCATTTAATCTCTCTGAGTCTTAGTTTCTTCATCTGTAAAATAAGTAGATTGGACTAGACGTATTCCACAGGCCTCTCCAGTTCTAAGATTATATGAGGAGACATAGACCTTCTTCTTAATTAAAGGGATATGTCTAAAAGTCTGGTATGCAGAAGGCTTAAGGTTTTTGATAATCCAAATTTTGAAGGAAATGGCTTTTACAGATGATGCTGTAAACCACTGGGAATTTGGCACTCAACAGACTATGACTAAAAGGATTTCAGGGAAATATTGGAGCCTAGTTGATAATATGATGAAGACAGTAATAAGACAGAATGATGTAGTATTAGACACCCTTCCCAACTCCCCAACCCCCTACTTCCAGTTTAACATTAGAATTGGGTTCCAGTACAGGTCCATGCCGATATCAAACAAGTATACTTTTGCACCCTATTTCAGATACTATTCTTTTTTTTCTTTTTCTTTTTTTTTGTTTGTTTGTTTTGCAAAGTGCTCAGTGTTAAGTGACTTGCCAAGGGTCACACAGCTAATAAGTGTCAAATGTCTGTGGCTGAATTTGAACTCAGGTCCTTCTGACTCCAGGTCCCATGCTCTATCCACTGTGCCACCTAGCTGCCCTTCCAGATGCTATTCTTAATTGGATATGTTGATTGTATTAATTATGTTGTAAGTAAGGACTGCTTACTGTGGTTTTTCATCTTATGTGTAGTGCCTTACAATTAGTTCTTAATAAATATTTGTTGAATTGACTGATTAGTGATTCTGGCCATCCTTCATTCAGCAAGCAAACATTCGTGAAGCTCCCTATTATGTACAAGGCAAAGACAAGGAAACAGCTGCCTTGAAGGAGTTTACACTTTATTGGGTGGAAATGGTTTGCACATTTATTGGGCAATGACATATACACAGATAAGTAAATGCAAAATATATACAAAATAGTACAAAGTAAGATTTTTTGGTGGAGAGAACATTAGCTAAGCGGCTGGGGGCATCAAGATAAGCCTTATTTAGGAGGCTGAACTTAATTAAGCTCAGCCTTGAAAGAAACTGGAGATTGTAGTTCAGCCCCTCATTTTATTCATGAGCCAACTTAGGTAGTAAATGACAGAAGCAAGATTTGAGCCTGGGTTCTATGATTCCAAAATGACTACTTTATCTCCATAGTCACCCCTACTTTGAATTTCCTTATTACTATTAAGGGTGCTGTCATTTTTCTAGTCATCCAGACTTGCAATCTTAGTATCATCTTCAGCTCCTTATTCTCACTTATCCTACATTTTCAATCACTTGCCACATCTAAAAATTTCTTTCTCCACAATATCTCTTGAATATATTTCCTTTCCATTCACACACAGCCATGATCTTATTTCAGGCCTTAGTCATCTCTGGTCTAGACTATTATAATGGTATTCTAATTGATCTCCCTGTCTCCAGTCTTTCCCCACTACAATGTCTACCACACAGCTGCCAAAATGATTTTCTAAAAACATAGATCTGGCCAGGTCACTCCCTTACTTAACAGTTTCCAATGACTCCCCAATACTTCTAAGATCAAATATTACTTTCTCTATTTAGCATTTAAACATCTTCACAACCTGGCCACTTGTAATCCTTTCAGTCTTCTTACACATTACTCTCCTCTACATACTTTACCATTCAGTCATATTGGCCTGCTTTGTGTTCCTTACATTCCTGACCTCCCTCTCGAATCTCCATGCCATTGTACTGGCTCTCCTCTATACTAGAAATACTCTCTTGACTGACGTTGGCCTCTTAGTTTCCCTGACTTCCATTAGGACTCAACTTCTTCCAGTAGCTTTTCCCAGTTCCCTCAGCTACCTTTCTCTCTAAACCTTCCTTCCATCTACTTTATGTGTCTCATGTACCAGTTTATGTACTTGTCTTCCCCACAGGAATGCAATCTTTAGAGAGGGAGCATTGTTTTGTATTTGTGTTCTGAACCCAGCATTAAGTAAAATGTCTGACACATAGTAAGGGCTTAATAAA